ATTTTTGTTACATATTATTTTTAAAATATTTTAAGTATTTTTATGTTTGAGAAGAAATATGAGCATTTCTTCTTCAATATCAGACATAAATCTGTTTCTATCTTCTGTATAAATTAAAGCATAGTAATAATGTTTTATATAAAAAATTCTTTTTTTATTGTAAAAAAAGAATAGATTTTCAATTTTTCAATCTTTTCAACAATTTCCGAATAAAATCCAATTATCTAACTTATTTGGTTTTGCCGGATAAAATCCAGTTATCCTTTCTATAATATTGTCCAATCTTCCATTAGAATTAACAGAGACATTAGTGCAACTTTCTGAAATTTTCAAGGTATGGGCAGCTACAATATAGATGGTATTGGCTATCCGTTGCGACTGGGACATCATAAGGGATTTGATTCATTATCTGGAACCTTTGGTCAGAGCAAGAGGTTTATACCTTTCAGGTAAATTGTTATCGATACGTCATCTTTGATAATAAAATATCTCTGATAATAAAATAAGCTTATAAAATAATCAAAAAATTAAATATTAAATTAACATAAAAATTATCAAGATACTCTTCATTAAACATCGCAATATATAAATGATTTAGAGACTACATTAAACAAATGAGTTCTAGTAAATATTTAGATAAAACTGAAGATTAAGGACTTGCAATTTTGATATATATATATATATATATATATATCTTTGGTGCATTTTAATCATAAATATTTTTTAATTATAATTTTAACGATTTTAATTGCAATGAAACTTTTCTAACACGTCACATATTGCAGTTATATTATATTAAAGTAAATTAAAATAGTCCTTTTTTATAAATTTTTAAACAAATTGTGAAATGATAAAAAATTTGGTAAAAATCACAACGTTCAAAGAATTATAAAAAATGATTTATCCTTGTTTCATACATTTTTATTGTTGAATAATATTATTGTTGCCTACATCTGTTTTTCAGAGTTTGATCATGTAATCAACTTTACTTTACAATTATTTAGTAAAACTATTTTTAAATGACATTCCAAAAAATAATAGATTTTGTAAAATAGAATGTTGATAAAAGAAGCTGCTGTTTCTTTCTGATTGATTAAGAAACGTGAACGCAACTTCCAATAGTGTAATATGAGCGTTAGTTTGTCGTTCTTTTTTGCTTCAATATACTTTTATAAATGTTGAATGTCAGGTATCATCGCAATGGACATTCAATTACGTTTATCCGAGTTCATTGAAAAAAAGAAAGAAGAAAAGAATATTTGTTGCTATTGAACTTCGCTTCTAGCTAGTCTAACTTATAAGCATTCATACGTTCTACATTGTATCTGACTAGTTTCATTGAAAACTCCTTCTTTCTAATAATTTTCTAATAAATTTCAGAAAAAAGGATTATATTATATTGTATTGTATATATATA